GGAATTTCTGTATTCTTTCTTCACCATCCATAACCCCATCGTAGCTACGTCTTTGGTATGAGAGAGATATCCATGTGAACCTACAGACACAGAAAATTAAATCAGTCAGTGCTATGTTATAGATTATCTTCATTGATCTGTCGTCAGGATATTTTGTAAGAAATGTTCAAACCAATGAGTCGTTATTGAATTATAATAATTAATGATTAATTATAAGAATTATAATAAAGTTTAAAATCGCGACTTAAACGAAATGAAGCCAGTATATACATTGTAATACACTGTAATCCGATAAGGTTACAAGGTCGACATCAAACAGAGGTTGCGATTGATGTTTAAAAAAGGAAGACAAAATGAAAAATCTGTAATAAATCGACAAAAAGTAACAATTTACCTATAATTTCTCCGTCATCTTTCTCGGCCACAAAGAATCCTGTTGGGTCCGTTTTGAAGGCACATTCTGTGTACGCCTTCTCCATCACCCATTTTTCACTCTCCAGAATTTTATTTACAGCTGGTAAATCCTTATGTTGCATTTGTCGAATTTTGTACGACATTTGTCTTTCACTTTGTAAACTGCAAAATAATCAAAATACCGTCAATATGATACATTATTTATTTTTAAATCAATGTGTTACAGTCCTTTACAAGATTAAGTGTTAAAAACATATCATCAACAAAGGATTGAAGCATTAACACAAAACCCACTTCTGATTCACTGGTAGTGTCCAGGTTTTCTTTCAAAATGTTACTTTTTATAATTGGTTAAAAGTTGTGAATTAAAATTACCATTTGGTGAGAGGTCCAATGGCTGCTGTAGATCTTGGCAATCGTCGGACGAATGTACTGAACATGGTGTCAGAGAAAGAGAACCTCAGTTAGATATGAGCGAGTCGGTGAATTGGTTTGTGTCTGATATATGTTAAAACCCTACACGCTTTTATAATACAGTGAACAGGGAAGTGTGTTCTAAAAATAAACCGATGGAAAGTTCCAGAGAGGATACGTCATTTTTTCAAATGTACTGTCAGAGTACTTGTATATGATATAAAGATATATCCGGTAGTACACAGGACGATATGGACGATAATTCCCGACATCGCCTACAGCTTCCTTGAATTGGGATGAAAGACATCAATTCCAGAAGACTCCTACAGATGGCAGAATGGAGTCTAACTAACCTTTTGTCATCTATGTTACTTTTCCCATATAAAAGTGGTGAAGCTTTCAGTGAGTCCATTATTGTATATATGATAAAGTGTGTTATGTTCTTGGAATGACCGTTGTATGTTCGTGTAAGCTTCGATGTGATATTGATAAACTTAAGGCGACTACATAGTACTACCATTTAATAGGTGAAGTGTAAACTGCCTTAAGCGATATTTTTTCAAAACAGAAGAAATAATATTAATCGGTTTTACGGATTTCAATTCTTACAAAATTGTTTTCCTTCATACTGTAAATATTTCCGTAGCTTTGACAAATTGTTTCATCACATATTATATAAAGACAAACAAGTGAATAGTATATTTTAAAACAAATTAACAGTTAGCTTCAGTAGAGCCGAAAAAATAATTAAACTGCATTAGATAGCTGTTTTGTCCTATGACTCGTCAGTGATGCATTGAATCTAATTTTGAAAGCCCCGGAAGCGACTGAGAAACAATCCAAAGTGATCGAAAAAAAAGTCAAAATCTCAGTTGATTTTCTCTCGCCAGTGGACGCAATTGAAGCGTATGCTGAAGAAATCGGTTTTCCATTAAATAATTCCCCTTTATATTTCTGATTTTTTTTTTATTATTTGTGTATATGCATACCTTGTAAGCAATTCTTGCCAGATGATAACATAAAGCGGTATACTACAACGTCAAACAGCCTAATCAAAATGGTGTAGGGTTGTTGTCAAACGTGAAGCCAAACTATCTTACGTCAGATTACGTACAAATGATTAAAGTAATTCATTTCTAAATCGCCAGTCGGACGCGTTAGGGATAAGAAGTTTAAAACTTTCAGTAACTGAGATCTGACAAAGGTTACACAAATAAACACTGAAAATTTCATGTGTGGTGATAACATGTACGTTATATGTTGTTGCTGTAACATGTTTATTCACATCTCGTCGGATGTCGATGATTGTTGAAGCACTTGATACTTGCGGAAAGTATGTATCATGCGATACGTTACAACAAGACTCCTATTTCCAAAAGATAGATAAAATGTTTGTAATGTTTTGTAAAATAATTGCAACATGTAATTGTAATCAGAATTTTGTATTTATAGATAAAAACATGGCATTTCAAAACAATGTCAGCTAAGTACCCTTGTGAACAATAACTTCATTAGTTCATGTTATTTCCTCGATCTTCCAATAATTAGCAGAAATACACATTATTATTTTATTTTACAGGAAGCAATTTTCAAGACTAAGTGATTAAGTAGACTACACACACACTTTGTTCTAAACATATCAAAATAAAATACATTCTGTTTAGAAATCCAAATTATATATCAACTTGATATATTATTATTGAATCAGATTATGCAGAACGATATTATGATTTATATTTACTTCTGTTGTTATTTCATCTATTGTACATCCTTTGCTCTTTGGCTTTAGAAAAGGAATTACGCACATGAGAGACGACGATATAGCGATCCTGACGTCGTGACGTTAGGCGCGGACGTCCTGACCTAGGTCGATCGGCCAATCGCCCAGTTTCCTGAAGACAACTTACAAGAAGTTCTATGGTGGAAACATTAACACCGAAGTGCCTAGCAACCTGATTTTGCAGCTGTCCTTGCATCAGCATCTGAATATGACCCCTCTGAACGTCTGTGAGTCGTGCCATTCTTAAAACGAATCAAATTCTCAATTAATTTTAGGGAAGCAGTTGGTCTGTATAAAGACTAACGAAGAGTGACTTGACCAACGCTGCATGAGACCAGAACAACACGGTGCACGAGATTCTTGTTTTTTCCTTCCTCCATTTACCAGAGCTACGCACTGTACCGTGACTAAATTTTCGATATATGACAAGGTGTAATATGACCTAATTACTCAATCCACAAAGTTTCACTTTATTTGGAGAACGCGTTTTCAAAATATCGGAATAAATATTACCCTGCGTTTCTTTATCTTTTCAGTATGTATATTTTTTTATTGAATTTTTCGATTGCTGATACAAAAAATAAATGTTGACAGAATTTCAAAACAATTTATATTTATAAAATAACTAATTATCCAGTTTGTTCTATTTATAGACATATCAGTTATTTCCTTGACACGTGATATACGTAGTCTAAACAACTCGAGTCGTTTAAACGAGACATCAATTCGTATACGAACTCCCTTATTTATTTTTATATCAATTAACCCAATGTTTGTAATTAAAATAATGGCAATCAGGAGGTTTAGCTTAAGAAATATCAGACCGTAATATTTTTACTGAAATGTTACCAGAGATTCAAGACATCACATAAATTTTACCATTCTTTCAACATTGTGAAAGAGTATCAGTGAATATCAGTTGACTTTTATTGTTTGTTTTGATATAATTCTTTTTTGATAAATCGTTTACATTGACTACTAAACAAATAACATATTTTATTTGAAAAGTTGAGATGTCTTTTATTTCATCCATTTGTTTTTTGTTTTTGTTTTTGTTTTTTTTTTTTTTTTGTATTTTTTTTTTGACAAAAAATACATTTCCTTCACAGTTACAGTTTACCACTTCTTTCCGCCAATATCGAATTCATTCTTCTTCTACGTTTCAATACTTTAAACCCATAGCATCACTGACGATTCCTAGAAGAATGAAACAACGGTGTGACGTGGTTCCTTATTCGGCTTTAGAGTATGAAATTGTGTATTCAAATCTGACTTGAGAAACTTGTTCAGTCTTCAAGACTGCAGGTGGTACACGCCTGGTGATCTACTAGTCCCCTAGATCTTCGGTAATGTAAATGCCATCTTTTCAGTCATTTGAATAGTCTCACCGCTTCGAATACACAAATATATTTCGCTTCATTGAAAATTAATCAATTTTGAAAATATGACATTATACTGAATTAAGGATCTCCCAATGAGAATTATGAGATTCATAGCGAACAGTTTGGATTTCCTCAGTCGCTTTCATCACTGACGAGACTTAGAAAGACGAACTAGATCAATGGTTCAGTTAACTACATTTAACATTATTTGTTTCATACTGTTTTTATCCTGATCTTGTATTTGAAGGTTCTCTCCACTTTTGAGTCTTTTTTACTATATTTTTTTTACAATATATATCTGGTAAGGATGTACATTTGTGTTCTTTTGAAAGGCTCGATTGCTGTATTCTTTCACAAAAATAATATATTGAAAAAATTTCAGAAATATTTCTAGTGATATAAAATAATCAAATTTCGTTGTTTGAAAAAAACAAAATATCATGTCGTATTATATATAGACACATCAGTGATTTCCATTATGTGTATGTATGTACTGCAAACCACTTGTACCACGCTATCGTGACGTCCATGTGTATGTGGATTTCATGTTTATCATACAACCACTTAATGAATCTGAAAAAAATAACTTTTTTTAACGATATTAAATGAAAATGAAAATAATATATGTTTTAGTTATTTCTTATCAATTAATTATGAACAAAAATGGATTTCTAGAAACACAATCACAGGCCTGTCGTAAACGTGAGGATCATGTGTAGTTAAGGGACATACGCGATACTGCCATATTGATACCTTCATCATCACACAGAGCTTGTAATAAGCTGGAGATTTATACGTCACCCTTCTCGGCCCTCTATTCTGATGAAATTGATAGCAATGGGGTTCTTTATTTGTTTTGAATTTGCCAATCTACTTTTTCTACTTTCTGTATCTCTAGGCCAGCATCTCTATTAACGCATACGCTTACGTTAAAACGTCAATAAAGAGATTTGTGATATAGAGAACATTTCAAATGTGAAATAGAAGAATAACGAAACATAAGAAAAGTATACAACAAATAAATCTTCTTTATTATATAGAAATAAACAATCCATGTTATGTTACATTTACAACAAATAAAACAACCTATGATATGATAGACATTTATATTAAATAACATGGTGATGTATAATGTTAATATACTTTCACAACCTATTTACATCCCTGAGGCTTAATATATCAGCAAGAAGATTATGTAAAGGTTAAATGGCGGCGGTTTAGACCAGACATTTCCTGAACGGACTTCCACACTAAAGAACAACTATACTAGTTTGTATTTCCTTCTTGTCTTGGATATGTAACACATAAACACAACACTAATACATCTCATTCTGTCTAACATGTACCAAATGAATTAGATGATACGGCGTACACTTTGTCAATGTCCACGTCGACAGGATCATCCTTGTAGATCATGATTAGAGGAATCCCTGGTTTCATCATTTTATTCACAGCCGCGAACTCTGTAGCAGACGAGTTTTCAAATGGACTAGAAAACCCGACTTTCTCTCCTGAGGGAACTTCACTTGCCAGATGACGAAATAAACCTTTCGCAACTTTTTTATCATCAGCATATAAAGGAGCGATCTGATTGTAGGAATCTTGGGATCTCAAAACACCGTACCCACACACCTTTCCATCGCGCATGGCTACATAGGTCCTGGACTTATCATGGTCTATCCAATTCCTCATGTAATCCTTTCTAGCTACTTTGTGAATATCTGTATCGTAATTTAACACATCGGACAGATTGGACTGTCCTATAGGAACCACAGTGAAATCCTCTTTGCCCTTGTTCTCACATGTCCGTTGATCTATGTGGCCGTAATTGTACCACGTCATATAAGCCTTGTTTGGCTTGACGCCGTGCTCCTCTTTGATCTTCTCTTGGTAATATGGCCACACAAATGTTCCCAGATTACTGCTGCCAACGGCCTGGTGGACTTTTCCGTATAATTGTAATCCGACATTGGAATTTCTGTATTCTTTCTTCACCATCCATAACCCCATCGTAGCTACGTCTTTGGTATGAGAGAGATATCCATGTGAACCTACAGACACAGAAAATTAAATCAGTCAGTGCTATGTTATAGATTATCTTCATTGATCTGTCGTCAGGATATTTTGTAAGAAATGTTCAAACCAATGAGTCGTTATTGAATTATAATAATTAATGATTAATTATAAGAATTATAATAAAGTTTAAAATCGAGACTTAAACGAAATGAAGCCAGTATATACATTGTAATACACTGTAATCCGATAAGGTTACAAGGTCGACATCAAACAGAGGTTGCGATTGATGTTTAAAAAAGGAAGACAAAATGAAAAATCTGTAATAAATCGACAAAAAGTAACAATTTACCTATAATTTCTCCGTCATCTTTCTCGGCCACAAAGAATCCTGTTGGGTCCGTTTTGAAGGCACATTCTGTGTACGCCTTCTCCATCACCCATTTTTCACTCTCCAGAATTTTATTTACAGCTGGTAAATCCTTATGTTGCATTTGTCGAATTTTGTACGACATTTGTCTTTCACTTTGTAAACTGCAAAATAATCAAAATACCGTCAATATGATACATTATTTATTTTTAAATCAATGTGTTACAGTCCTTTACAAGACTAAGTGTTAAAAACATATCATCAACAAAGGATTGAAGCATTGACACAAAACCCACTCCGGATTCACTCTTAGTGTCCAGGTTTTCATTCAAAATGTTACTTTTTATAATTGGTTAAAAGTTGTGAATTAAAATTACCATTTGGTGAGAGGTCCAATGGCTGCTGTAGATCTTGGCAATCGTCGGACGAATGTACTGAACATGGTGTCAGAGAAAGAGAACCTCAGTTAGATATGAGCGAGCCGGTGAATTGGTTTGTGTCTGATATATGTTAAAACCCTACACGCTTTTATAACACAGTTAACAGGGAAGTGTGTTCTAAAAATAAACCGGTGGAAAGTACCAGAGAGGATACGTCATTTTTTCAAATGTACTGTCAGAGTACTTGTATATATGATATGAAGATATATCCGGTAGTACACAGGACGATATGGACGATAATTCCCGACATCGCCTACAGCTTCCTTGAATTGGGATGAAAGACATCAATTCCAGAAAGACTCCTACAGATGGCAGAATGGAGTCTAATTAATCTGTTTTATTTTTGTCATTTATGTTACTTATTCCATATAAAAATGGTGCAGCAACCAGTGAGTCCATTATTGTACATATGATAAAGTGTGTTATGTTCTTGGAATGACCGTTGTATGTTCGTGTAAGCTTCGATGTGATATTGATAAACTTAAGGCGACTATATAGTACTACCATTCAATAGGTCAAGTGTAAACTGCCTTAAACGATATTTTTCAAAACATAAATAATATTTATCGGTTTTACGGATTTCAATTCTTACAAAATTGTTTTCCTTCATACTGTAAATATTTTCGTAGCTCATGGCATATTATATAAAGACACACAATTCTGTATATTTTAAAACAAATTAACAGTTAGCTTCATTAGAGCCGAAAAATTAATTAAACTGCATTATATAGCTGCTTTGTCCTCTGACGCGTCAGTGATGCATTGAGTCTAATTTTGAAAGCCCCGGAAGCGACTGAGAAGCAATCCAAAATGATCGAAAAAAAGTCAAAATTTCAGTTGATTTTCTCTCTCAAGAGGACACAGATGAAGCGTATGCTGAAGAAATCGGTTTTCAATCAAATAATTCCCCTTTATATTTCTGATTTTTTTTTATTATTATTTGTGTATATGCATACTTTGTAAGCAATTCTTGCCAGATGATAACATAAAGCGGTATACTACAATGTCAAACAGCCTAATCAATAGGGTGTAGGGTTGTTGTCAAACGTGAAGCCAAACTATCTTACGTCAGATTACGTACAAATGATTAAAGTAATTCATTTCTAAATCGCCAGTCGGACGCGTTAGGGATAAGAAGTTTAAAACTTTCAGTAACTGAGATCTGACAAAGGTTACACAAATAAACACTGAAAATTTCATGTGTGGTGATAACATGTACGTTATATGTTGTTGCTGTAACATGTTTATTCACATCTCGTCGGATGTCGATGATTGTTGAAGCACTTGATACTTGCGGAAAGTATGTCTCATGCGATACGTTACAACAAGACTCCCATTTCCAAAAGATAGATAAAATGTTTTAATGTTTTGTAAAATAATTGCAACATGTAATTGTGATCAGAATTTTGTATTTATAGATAAGAACATGGCATTTCAAAACATTGTCAGCCAAGTACCCTTGTGAACAATAACTTAATTAGTTCATGTTATTTCCTCGATCTTCCAATAATTAGCAGAAATACACATTATTTTTTATTTTACAGGAAGCAATTTTCAAGACTAAGTGATTAAGTAGACTACACACACACTTTGTTCTAAACATATCAAAATAAAATACATTCTGTTTAGAAATCCAAATTATATATCAACTTGATATATTATTATTGAATCAGATTATGCAGAACGATATTATGATTTATATTTACTTCTGTTGTTATTTCATCTATTGTACATCCTTTGCTCTTTGGCTTTAGAAAAGGAATTACGCACATGAGAGACGACGATATAGCGATCCTGACGTCGTGACGTTAGGCGCGGACGTCCTGACCTAGGTCGATCGGCCAATCGCCCAGTTTCCTGAAGACAACTTACAAGACGTTCTATGGTGGAAACATTAACACCGAAGTGCCTAGCAACCTGATTTTGCAGCTGTCCTTGCATCAGCATCTGAATGGCCTGACCCCTCTGAACGTCTGTGAGTCGTGCCATTCTTAAAACGAATCAAATTCTCAATTAATTTTAGGGAAGCAGTTGGTCTGTATAAAGACTAACGAAGAGTGACTTGACCAACGCTGCATGAGACCAGAACAACACGGTGCACGAGATTCTTGTTTTTTCCTTCCTCCATTTACCAGAGCTACGCACTGTACCGTGACTAAATTTTCGATATATGACAAGGTGTAATATGACCTAATTACTCAATCCACAAAGTTTCACTTTATTTGGAGAACGCGTTTTCAAAATATCGGAATAAATATTACCCTGCGTTTCTTTATCCTTTCAGTATATATATTTTTTTATTGAATTTTTCGATTGCTGATACAAAAAATAAATGTTGACAGAATTTCAAAACAATTTATATTTATAAAATAACTAATTATCCAGTTTGTTCTATTTATAGACATATCAGTTATTTCCTTGACACGTGATATACGTAGTCTAAACAACTCGAGTCGTTTAAACGAGACATCAATTCGTATACGAACTCCCTTATTTATTTTTATATCAATTAACCCAATGTTTGTAATTAAAATAATGGCAATCAGGAGGTTTAGCTTAAGAAATATCAGACCGTAATATTTTTACTGAAATGTTACCAGAGATTCAAGACATCACATAAATTTTACCATTCTTTCAACATTGTGAAAGAGTATCAGTGAATATCAGTTGACTTTTATTGTTTGTTTTGATATAATTCTTTTTTGATAAATCGTTTACATTGACTACTAAACAAATAACATATTTTATTTGAAAAGTTGAGATGTCTTTTATTTCATCCATTTGTTTTTTGTTTTTGTTTTTTTTATGTATTTTTTTTGACAAAAATACATTTCCTTCACAGTTACAGTTTACCACTTCTTTCCGCCAATATCGAATTCATTCTTCTTCTTCTTCTACGTTTCAATATTCCTAGAAGAATAAAACAACGGTGTGACGTGGTTCCTTATTCGGCTGTAGTGTATGAAATTATGTTTTCAAATCTGACTTGAGAAACTTGTTCAGTCTTCAAGACTGCAGGTGGTACACGCCTGGTGATCTACTAGTCCCCTAGATCTTCGGTAATGTAAATGCCATCTTTTCAGTCATTTGAATAGTCTCACCGCTTCGAATACACAAATATATTTCGCTTCATTGAAAATTAATCAATTTTGAAAATATGACATTATACTGAATTAAGGATCTCCCAATGAGAATTATGAGATTCATAGCGAACAGTTTGGATTTCCTCAGTCGCTTCCATCACTGACGAGACTTAGAAAGACGAACTAGATCAATGGTTCAGTTAACTACATTTAACATTATTTGTTTCATACTGTTTTTTATCCAGATTTTTGTATTGAAGGTTCTCTCCACTTTTGAGTCTTTTTTACTATATTTTTTTTACAATATATATCTGGTAAGGATGTACATTTGTGTTCTTTTGAAAGGCTCGATTGCTGTATTCTTTCACAAAAATAATATTTTGAAAAAATTTCAGAAATATTTCTAGTGATATAAAATAATCAAATTTCGTTGTTTGAAAAAAACAAAATATCATGTCGTATTATATATAGACACATCAGTGATTTCCATTATGTGTATTTATGTACTGCAAACCACTTGTACCACGCTATCGTGACGTCCATGTGTATGTGGATTTCATGTTTATCATACAACCACTTAATGAATCTGAAAAAATAACTTTTTTTAACGATATTAAATGAAAATGAAAATAATATATGTTTTAGTTATTTCTTATCAATTAATTATGAACAAAAATGGATTTCTAGAAACACAATCACAGGCCTGTCGTAAACGTGAGGATCATGTGTAGTTAAGGGACATACGCGATACTGCCATATTGATACCTTCATCATCACACAGAGCTTGTAATAAGCTGGAGATTTATACGTCACCCTTCTCGGCCCTCTATTCTGATGAAATTGATAGCAATGGGGTTCTTTATTTGTTTTGAATTTGCCAATCTACTTTTTCTACTTTCTGTATCTCTAGGCCAGCATCTCTATTAACGCATACGCTTACGTTAAAACGTCAATAAAGAGATTTGTGATATAGAGAACATTTCAAATGTGAAATAGAAGAATAACGAAACATAAGAAAAGTATACAACAAATAAATCTTCTTTATTATATAGAAATAAACAATCCATGTTATGTTACATTTACAACAAATAAAACAACCTATGATATGATAGACATTTATATTAAATAACATGGTGATGTATAATGCTAATATACTTTCACAACCTATTTACATCCCTGAGGCTTAATATGTCAGCAAGAAGATTATGTAAAGGTTTAATGGCGGCGGTTTAGACCAGACATTTCCTGAACGGACTTCCACACTAAAGAACAACTATACTAGTTTGTATTTCCTTCTTGTCTTGGATATGTAACACATAAACACAACACTAATACATCTCATTCTGTCTAACATGTACCAAATGAATTAGATGATACGGCGTACACTTTGTCAATGTCCACGTCGACAGGATCATCCTTGTAGATCATGATTAGAGGAATCCCTGGTTTCATCATTTTATTCACAGCCGCGAACTCTGTAGCAGACGAGTTTTCAAATGGACTAGAAAACCCGACTTTCTCTCCTGAGGGAACTTCACTTGCCAGATGACGAAATAAACCTTTCGCAACTTTTTTATCATCAGCATATAAAGGAGCGATCTGATTGTAGGAATCTTGGGATCTCAAAACACCGTACCCACACACCTTTCCATCGCGCATGGCTACATAGGTCCTGGACTTATCATGGTCTATCCAATTCCTCATGTAATCCTTTCTAGCTACTTTGTGAATGTCTGTATCGTAATTTAACACATCGGACAGATTGGACTGTCCTATAGGAACCACAGTGAAATCCTCTTTGCCCTTGTTCTCACATGTCCGTTGATCTATGTGGCCGTAATTGTACCACGTCATATAAGCCTTGTTTGGCTTGACGCCGTGCTCCTCTTTGATCTTCTCTTGGTAATATGGCCACACAAATGTTCCCAGAT